ATGAACATCAAATAGTACACTGAGTTAACAAGAACCACATAGCATGAACATCAAATAGTACACTGAGTTAACAAGAACCACATAGCATGAACATCAAATAGTACACTGAGTTAACAAGAACCACATAGCAGGAACATCAAATAGTACACTGAGTTAACAAGAACCACATAGCATGAACATCAAATAGTACACTGAGTTAACAAGAACCACATAACATGTTTTGTGGTTCTTGTTAACTCAGTGTACTATTTGATGTTCATGTTTTGTGGTTCTTGTTAACTCAGTGTACTATTTGATGTTCATGTTTTGTGGTTCTTGTTAACTCAGTGTACTATTTGATGTTCATGTTTTGTGGTTCTTGTTAACTCAGTGTACTATTTGATGTTCATGTTTTGTAATGTTATGTGGTTCTTGTTAACTCAGTGTACTATTTTATTTGGTGTCTGGAAACATAGTTTTGCGTATTTGATAACATTGTTTATATCTAGATCATACATTCATTCCATTTGTTGGGAAAGAGGTTCACTCGGGGAACATTGAAAAAGTCCCAACCAAAGAAAAAGACAAGTTTCCTCAGGATTTCTTTCCAGAGGTACAGTCATACTTTTCTTTAGTACATTTGTATCATTTAGTCACAAGGTTCTGGTTTAAAAGATGTATATTGATGTTAATAAATTTTCTGTAACTTCTTGTTAGTGTACGAGTAACACTAAGTTTTGAAGCTTACGGTACAGTATAAATTCATTGTGTTTCATACTCACCTAGTTTGTGTATGTGTGCTGTTTTTCTCTGTACTGTTTTAATGAGTATATTTGTTACTGTGTAACAATTTGTATTGTTTAATATTTATATTTTTGTATTACATAACTCAATGTTTGGTTCACATTTGTGTGACACATAGTCTACTGAAATGTTTGTTATTATTCTATTTACATGAAACTCCTTACTCATAAGCTCTTTTTTGTACCCTTTACAACTTTCCTTACCTTTTGTACTTTTGGTTAAAGTGCAAATGGTCTCGAAAAGGGTTCATGAGGACACGCTGGTGTGTTAATGGAACAGTGTTTGACCTAATCAACATTCATCTCTTCCATGATGCATCAAACTTCATCTCTATGGAAACAGTAAGTGGATTAAATTCTCAGTCTGCGTATTTGGCATTAAGTTCTAGATCTCAAATGTTTACTTTATAAATTGTGAAATTTGTTTGTACAGTGAACAACTTAACAAATCACACATAAACAACTATCACATATACGTTTGTTGTTGAATCAGCTGAATACTAATGTGAAACACTACGAAATACATCTCTTGCTAAAGCATCTTTTTTTTCATTGTTAGTTGTTGCACTTACAAATTAATGGTATTATGTGTCACTATGTTTTTTTGTTATGTTCTACTATGCTTTTGTTTTATACATCTTAATGGGTATTCATGTGGAACTAAAAGTTTTAATCAGTGTACAACTGACAGTAGTTTAATGCCAAAATTAATATTTATCTAAGTACTATTCACATATCAGGGTTTTCTTTAGAAACTTTGTAAAACATTTGAAACAGCCTAACGTGGTTGGAGTCTCCATAGACAACTGGTAGGGATCAAGTAGATGAAGCCTTCTACTGTTTTATATCAGTGGTGCACAAACTTTTTTATGGCAAACCTTTTCTAAACATGCATTTTGTTGTGCCTCCCCACACACCCCATATAAAAGTAAAACAAGTCTTAAAGTGTTACATAACAAAAGGTAAACAGTTTCAGTTTGCTCACCAACTTAGTTTAAAAGATGGGCTTAAACTTGGGATAAAATGAGATCCACTTTTGGCTGAATTGTCAACACAGCAACACGAAGATCTAACTTCTACCTGCAGATGAGATTGCTGTTTTATTTTGATTGCTGTCACATCAGAAAACACTGACTTGGACAGGTATGCTAATGTGAAAGGCAAAAGCACATCAGGTCAAGGTATTATTTGCGAACTAGTATCCATAAATTTCCAAGAGGTTTTGACTTGAATTCTACCAGAAGTTTTGTATCACTGGATAGTTCTATGAGCTTTTCTTTAGCTGACATTGGCAGATGAGAACTTATACTGCCCCTACTCTTTCATTAAAGGGCTTGTATATTTTACGTCACCTTGTAATCACTACATAAGTAATTTGTAACCATGAAGGTATACATACTGTAACTCTGAAAGTACTTAATATATGTTCCTAAAATTTGGCAAGCTTTCAGTAAACATTACATCTTTGGTATACAAAAAGAAATTGAAATTTGTAATTATGTATTGTTATTAAAAATTTATGCATAAATATATGGAGTCAGAGTGTTGACTGGTACCAAATGCAAAGTAATTTTCATGTTAAGATTTAAAATAATTTTCTTCATCTGAAAATTTTCAAATTTCATTTGCATAATCTCTAAAACCTCCTAAATAAATTTAACTGTTTTTTTCAGAAAAGCTTTTTTATTTTATCTGTTATTTTGTTCACCCTAACTTTATATGGGATCATTTGATTTGACTAACTTCATAACCTCCATAAAAAAAAAAAAAAAGAAAATTACCTTTTTCCTTTCTAGGATGACTACAACTTGTAACAAGAAACCACAATTATTTATTTTAAATAGTTTAAAGCTTGTAACAGTATGCATCTATTTATACTTAGTTTTATTGCCCTTTGAACCATGTCTATCTAAATCTCACCATATAAGTTTTTTTTAATTTTTATTATTTCTTTTTTCATTATTTTACTTAATCAAACCTAACAAGTTTCTAATTTTTACATTTTACTTTTATAATAATAAATAAAGAATACAAATGAAAAATAAGAATTAAAGTAATTACCTGGGTCTTTTTTTCTTGTTCTAGACTGTCGATGAAACTTAAGCCTACTTTTTTTACATTAATAGAACTATTGCATTAAAAACTTTTTTATTTAATTAAATACTGCTCCTAAGAACACAGAATAATAACATGCAAGAAACAAACAATGTCTGATAACTATCATAATTTTTCTAACTATGCAATAAGAGCCTTTAAAAATTCAGCTAAGCTTGTCAATGTGATTCCAGTGAGAATAAATTTGAAACTGAATGTTGAAATAGGCAATGCTCTGTACAGAAAACAATGTAATACAATATGTCATTTAATAGATTAAAAATTTGGCTTTCTATTGGTTATAAATAATGTAGTATAAAATGTCAAATAAAACTATTGGCAATTTGTGAAAGAGAAGATGTGGCAAGAGGGGTCTGATTTTATAGTTTATGGCTCTGTAACCAAATAAGATTAAAGGCTATAAAAAATATGCTTTATCTGAGTTATAATCATATTATAAGGAGTAATTATGTTAAATTCTGTACTTTTTGGAGAGGTGGTAAATACATTAGAGAAGAGGGAATATTTAGAGAGCGAATGTCACAATTCTTACAGTAGGGGACATTGAAAATTTTTTCTTTAACATTTCCTTATAAAATTAATAACTTAAATCTTATATAATATTAAAATTTGATTTATTAACTATTCAATGCCAAGTTTATTTGTATACATTAATAATAAAGTATAATATAAAGTAATAATAAATGTAACTCTGTAAATGGTAGTGACATGCGCACTTTCACCAATCCATTGTGAGAGGGCTAAATGGATTCCAGATTCAATCATGTTTTTTCATTAATTCTTGGAATTGATCTGCAAATTGACACTGAAGTTTTCTGAGATGAATAGAAACAACGTCACAAATAAGACAAGTTAATTCATTTTCTTTCAACAAAAGATCACTGAGGAAAGGAAACATTTCACAGTTTCCATTCTCAAATTGGTTTTTCCACAGCACAAGTTTTTTTTGGAAAATGTAGACACTTTGTCACTCAGCTACAAAATATTGCTTTTCTGGCCTTGCAGTGACAAGTTAAGGTCATTGAGTTTATCACAAATATCAGCCATGTAGCCACTTTTTGCCTATAAAGTGTGTTGTTAGTGTAGGGTTGCAGTCTAACAAAAATATGAAGTTCATCTTTCAGCTGCACAAGACAACTGAATATCTTCCTGTGAGGCAGTCAGCGGGAGCTTTTGTACGTAGATTTCATTTCTCTACAAAGAATGGAAAAGAGTACTGTTCAAAGCTCTTGATTTCACATCACTCACAGTATCCTGTAGCACTTTGAAGCTGGTGCTTCCCTGTATATGATGTAATGTGTAAATGTTACATCTGGAGCAAGAGCACTTACTTTAGCTGTGAACCCTTTTTTTTTCTCATAAACACAGCTGCCCCATCAGTGCACGCCCCAACACGGTTAATCCAAGAAAAAATTTTTATAGTGAGAAAACTCATCAGCAAGATGACTTCCCTGTAGCTCTCCCTTCTAGTGCTTAACAAAACAGAAACTCTTTACACACTTCCTGTTCATAACAATATCATACATATACCAGAACTTGAACTAAATTTATAACATCTGTGGTTTCGTCAAGTTGTATGGTGGATTTTAGACTGTTCTGTATGTGTTCTGTCATTTGCATTTTTATATCAGCAGAGATTACATCTATATGCCTTGCAACAGTGTCACATGATAAAGATAGACTTGCGATCACATCTCTCTCTATGCATGATCTCGGATGTTTTTGTGGCAGAAAGAACATCTAATTTCTCTCCTATATTTTGTAGCTTCATGCTTTCCCAATTAAATAAGATGTTTCTAAAGAAGCTATCAATGCTTTTGATGAAACAGTGTCACATGATAAAGATAGACTTGCGATCACATCTCTCTCTATGCATGATCTCGGATGTTTTTGTGGCAGAAAGAACATCTAATTTCTCTCCTATATTTTGTAGCTTCATGCTTTCCCAATTAAATAAGATGTTTCTAACGAAGCTATCAATGCTTTTGATGAAACAGTGACCTACTTTTCAAGCAAGCTGTTTTATCCTTTTATTTGTTTGACTTGTCACTTAAATAACTTGATCCAGGTTTTATCCAGATGCTCGTGGGGTTTGGTTTCCAAATTACTTTTAAGTTTATTTCTATCCTGCTGTTATTAGCTAAAATCTGCAAACAAGTAATGCACTGAAGCTGTTTCTCATTACTTGCAACCCTGTAACTAAATTCCAATATTAAATAATTCTCTTGCTAATTAATCCCGTACTTTTTGTTTTGTTGTTCAATTTATCAATAATAATATTAGTATAAATGGAAAGTCATGAAATGCTTCGTCCAGCCAAAGGACCATCAATTTGATGTTCTCCATTATCACCATTATTTAACTATTTCCTTTGAGCCATCACTCAAAGAAACACAAGACCATTTTTTGCCTATATGTAACACCTATTTATGTTTTTGACAAGCTAGTAAATCAAAAATAATTTTCACAACTTGAAACTAGCAATCTGCCAAATGTATAAAAAAATCTTGAAATCTTTTGGCCATCCATTCAACACTCATATTGCATTTTGCTATGTCGTAAGTTTATAAATATTTTGATATGATAATCATGACTTCTGATTTTTTGTAACTAATACATCTGTGTGTCTTGACTAAGAGAGGGGGTATTGCTGCCTATGTTTTTTTTTAATGCTTTTAGTAAAATTAAATCTTTAAATGCATATTTTCCAACAAGATTTTTCGACATTTCCAACTTGGTAATTGAATCACTAATGTCAACTAAATAAAACCATGAGAATACCATGTTTTGATTTACAGAAATGCCATAATCTCACACTGATCTTCTGTAAATCAAATATATTAATAATTAAATATTGAAAACATGTTTTACTCTCACATATCTCCACTGACACTAATAGCTATTTCTCCAGTCTTTATATACCCCACTCGACTGCCCTCGGCATTCTCCAATTTGCAAAACTTTACGCAGGCCCTCTATGCAGGTACTGCATATAAGTACTGTATGCAAAAAATAAAATTGTCACAAGTCTAAAATTTTCATTCTATAAAGTTTCTCATTGATTGTACCATGTGCTTTGATGTGATGTTTAGTGGTGGTTTCTTTATTGTCAAGATTACTTTAAAAAGTAATAATGAATTTCTATTCACTTTTGTGATGGATTGAAGGTGATTTAGATTTGCTACATTTAGTTTAGCTTTGCATTTGTGAGTGTGGGAATCGGCTAGCATGAGCAGAGCTTCTTAAATGAACAAATTACTTGTATTCCACCACTAAATGAAGTTTACTTTATTCATTTGCTTAGCTCTTCCAAGCAGCACTGATCAGCCATGCATTTGGTGAAACTAGTCTGTTGCAGCAGAAGTAGCAAATCAAAGAATAGGTTAATTTTCTGCATCATCTTTTTTTCACTGAAATTCACATTTTGGTTTTAAAAAAAGGGAAAAAATTAACAAAAAGTAGAACCCAAGGTTAGTAATTTAATGTGTTCACATACTAAACTGGCAAAGAAATGGAAAAAAATAAATATTTGGAACATGTGCTAGCTAAGTTTAAGAAAATTATATATTAACTCACCTATTACATTCAAAGTTTTTAGCAACCACATTTATTTTCAATAGGAACAATGTGTAATAATTACTTTTTTTTCAGTTTCCATCATCTTATAGCCAAAACCGACAGAGAGCTCTAGAACAAACGTTAAAACGGTGAGCTTAGTTTCTTTAAATATTTAGCTTACTGTGTTGATGCATGTTGCTTAGAATTATCAAATCATTGAAGCTTGTTGAAATTTACTTATTTCTTTTCTTGGCTTCTGAGGACTTTTACACAATACTAGAATATTGATATAACCAAAAAAATATTGATATAATAATAGTTATTAAAACAACATTGACCAAGTAGTCTTTCATTTCATACTGGCTAGTTTTACAAAACATTGTAGTCAACTGCTAATGCTTTAATACAATGGGCTTTCAGGCTTATTTAAATTTTACAGTCTTAATGCTTCTTTTTAAGTCTTGGGCTAAGTGTATTTTGCTGTTTCAACTCAGAATTACATAATGCATAATACTTTTCCCTTTGTTTACTCTAGGTTCCACAGTGATGATTATGATAAAGTACCTTTCATTATGTTTGGTGATTTTAACTTCCGTCTAGATACAAAAGCCGTAATACAGGTAAGTTTTGTGTTAAGCAACATAGTATTATTTTTACATGCAAAGATGTACTTCTCCAAAATATTGGAGACTGCACTTGTATATTGCATGAAAAGGTTTAGAAATATGTGTAATTATCATATTTCTGTAACCAAAAGATTTTTGATTGGTTAAATTAACAAGTTTTGATTCCATTACTTTGGTATCAAAAGTTTTTGAAAATATCCCAAAATTTCAGATTAAAAGATATTGGGAAATTTAAATCCTATGGTAGAAAAATGTATATAAAGTTCAACTAGGTATATATTTATAGGGTACAAAATTGTATAAAAAATTATGGACATTTCTAACAAAATCTAAAAGTCTGTAAGTATTTTTAACCCATATGCTGCGGCTGGGATGTACATTTCCCAGTGCACTTAGAAATACATGTTCCAGCCATAGTGAAAGGGTTAAATGCAAAATTGTTTTGAATTTTGTATCATCATTTACTAACAAATATGTCAAAATTGAAAAACTGATTTTCTCAATAAACAAATATGTGAATAATTTTAAAATATATTGAGATATGTTTACTTTATGCCTGTGTCTCATAGCTACTTGAGAAATAAAAGCATTTTATAGTCTTGAATTAAAAACACTGGCCTTTTACCTCATTTCACATTTTCACCTTATAAAGTTAGGTTTTATGTAACTTTTCAAGACAGAAATTAGTATTATTCACATGTGAAAGTCTTAATTTGGACTTTAATAATACATGTTTTTGGCTGAATTGGCTAATGTGCAGCATAAAAATTTAAAACAAAATTATAATTTCCCCACCCTTCGATGGAAAGCATGAAATGACCATACATGTTTGTGTATTTATATATTTTAAAATATGTGATGTTATTTATAACAACATTAATAATTTATACACAAATTAATCCTTTTTTTATTCAATATTCTGTGGGTAGTTTTGAAAAATTCCTAGAAAGAGCATATTGTTAAACACGCTAATTGTGTAGTAAAAATTTTTCTCTTTGTGACACTGAAGGGTAAATGAAGGTAAAACTTGAAATTTATGAAGTCAAGCAAAAATACTTTTATTGTAAAGATTTTTTAAAATGTTGTTAATTATCTGAACTATATTTCCTTTCCTGTAGCAGAAGAAAGCATTAATGTGGCAATTGGGAATGGCTAAAACTTGACTGACTTTTCTGCTGTTGTTAGTTCAGTGCTTGGAAAAATAATATTAACAAGAATTTGTAAAATATAGTTTTCACTTACTTATATTATTTCAATAATATACTTACCATGAAGAAAAATTGAGTCTTTTCTCTCATATCTGAATTGCTCCTTTTGCTGCATTGTACAACAGGGCCTATGGTATGTTATGTTGGTACGTGTGCATTGTGCTTAGAATCTATGGTATATGCTAACATTTTATCCTTTTAACTGTGCACGTATGTATTTGCTTTGGCTATACATATAGTGCATCCCAGGGGAATCCCCAAGTATCCTCAAGCTTTATAGTGAGTATATGGTCTATAGATCACTAAAAAAAAGTCACATGAATACTAATTACCTTCATCAGGATAATTTGGATTAAATCCTGGGGCTTCTCCAACATTCACTGCTTTACTTCTGCAACTGTATATTGCTGTTTAGCCATGAAAATCTTGGTGGGGGTGGGGAGACAAAACATGACCAATTATATACATTCACTTGTACAAGAGGTTTCTCTTCCTTTCATCTCATAAAAGTCAAAGCAGTGAACATCAGATAATCCCCCAGCTTTATCAAAAATAAGTTTTGAAAAGTGAATGCCTGTAAAACATGCACTGTGTGTGATATACATAAATAAATAAACTATATAACTGATAGAAATAGGCCTATAAATGTGGTGTAAGTGATTTTTGATTGCTAGTAAAAGATGAACATGAAACCAAAGAACAAATGATTCTGTCATGCAACCATAAACAGATGTTTCAGCAGCTTTGAAATTATATGAAAAAACTTAACATTATAACAAAATTAACACAAAAATGCGTTTATACAGGAAGTAAACACTGCTTCCAAGAGAAGGGGTTAAAAGTTTGAATATTTTGTACTTAAAATGATCTTGTTTTTGCAGAGATTAACTGAAAGAGTGACACCTATTCACATAAAGAATAGTAAGAATGGAGAAGTTGTGAAGATGTTATACAGGGACCCAGTAAATGAAAACCGAGTAAGTTTGGTGATTTTTTATATATATTGGCTTCCAAATGCCCTTTTTTAAGATACTTATTTCATGCTGTTATTAGCTAAAATCTGCAAACAAATAATGCACTAAGGCTATTTTTCATTATTTGCAACTCTGTAAGTAAAATCAAATATTAAATAATCCTCTTGGTACTTAAGGTTTTTATCGTCTTAACTAATTCACTTGGTTTGTCTTGACCAGCTACAGTATAGAAACTGGTTTGAGCTAAACATTTTCTTGCACAGACCACTTATTGAGTTTTCTTTTTATTTTAGCTGTCAAATGTCAGTAAAACTTAACCCCACTTGTTTATGCAATTGGCATTACTGCATCAAATGTTTAGTTATTAAAAGAACTTATCCATATGCTTGTTCTAACTTATTATAGTAAAATAAAACAACCCAATTACTTTGAAGGCCCTTCCTAGTCTAAAATACACCACTTTAAAAAGCATGTAGTTATTTAAAGAACTTATCCATATGCTTGTTCTAACTTATTATAGTAAAATAAAACAACCCAATTACTTTGAAGGCCCTTCCTAATCTAAGATACTCCACTTTAAAAAGCATGTTGATTTACTCTCTTTCTACGGGCTCAGTTGAAATCGTAACCCCAAATTGACCTTTATAGTTTCCATACTCTTAACTTCTAATATGTTTTGTGTATCTTCAAGTTTTCAGTAATCATTAAGTCATTTGTAGACAAAAAAAAAATCAGAATTTTAGTGAAATGTTTTCACCATGAATATATGGCATCAAAATGTTGACTTCTCTAATTTCAAAGTGATTTTCATGTTAAGATTAAAAATACTTTTCTTCATCTGAAGAATCTCATATTTCATTTGTGTAACCTCTAAAACCTTCTTTCAAACTTTATTTTAGTAAAACTTTAAATTTTATCTCTTACTTTCTCTATACAAGATTGGTTAATTTGACCAACCTTGTAACCACCAAAAAAAGAAATTTAGATAAATCTAAAATACCTTTTTTCTTTCTAGAATGACTTCAAATAGTAACATGAAACTACATATGTTTATACTTAAATTTTATTATTTTATCTCCCTTTGAACCATGTCTAACTAATATTCCGGCCCATAAAATTTGTAAATCATTTGGTGAATGTGTATATTACATTACCCTGTCAAATTACATAACATACAGGGTACTCGTGAGTTGCTTACAGCGTACCTCGTGAAACATTTTTCTTATTATTATTCTTTATTTTACATAATCTAACCTTATATGGCTAAAAAATTTTCTAATTTTTATATATTACGTACTTTGATAATAATAATATAAAGAATATAACTGAAAAACAAGAAATAAAGTACTTACTTGGGTCTTTTTTTGGTCAGTACTTTATGTCTTGTTTCCATGTGTATTCTTTATTTATTATTATAAAAGTAACTAAAGAGGAAAAAACTGGGATCTCTTTAGGTTAGATTAGGTAAAATAAATAAAACATTTTCATGAGGCACATGAACAGCTCGAAGTAGCTTGTGAGTAATGTAATTCATAGCATAACGTGAGCTATATGTTCCCCAAGCATTTTACAACTTATAATGGCATGAATAGCAGTTAGACACTGTTCAAAAGGCAATAAAATTTAAATATAAGTGGTTGTATACTGTTACGAGTGTAAAGCTACTTTGGATAAACAAATGTAGTTTCATGTTACAATTTGAAGTCATTCTAGATAGAAAAGAATAATTTAGATTTATTTCAATTTTTTTCATTTTTTTGGTAGTTACAAAGTCAGTCAAATTGATCAACCTTGTATAGAGTTAGGGTAGAGAAAATAACAGAAAAATTATAAAATTTTACCAAAAACAAGCATTTGAGATGTATTTAGGAGGTTTTAGAGATTATGCAAATAAAATTTGAGATTTTTTGGACAAAGAATTGTATTTTTAATCATAACATGAAAGTCATCTTACACTCGTACCAGTAATGAAACAGATTCAATATATTTACAAACAAATCTTTAGTAAAAGTGCTTCATTAAAAAATCATATTTTTTTCTGTACAAAAGACTTGTAATATTTCCCAAAAGTCTACTAAATTTTGTGAAGATAAGCATACTGTATTAAAAGTTATAATACATAAATTAATTATAAATGTGTCTGTGGACTCGGGAATTTTATACCGAGTCTGTTGCAAGAGGGTTAGTACAAGTGTCCATGTCATCCCTACATAGACAGTGCTAGCACACTCTCTGATGCTTAAGGCTTTTGTAATGTAGAAAACACAAAATGGAAAAGATAACAGCATGTTTAGCTTAAGAGAAAAAGTTTTTGCTATATATTATGTGTGGTAGAAACATGATTTTGGTGACTCTTTTTATTTGGTAACTTAAAGTTGAAGTACGTCTGACTTTATTAGTAAATAAAAATTTTACAGTTAACAAAATAATGCTGTTTTAAATGAAGCAGTTATAATCATCATTCAACCACATTTTGTGTTACAGGTTGTGCTTACTTTGGAAAAGAAAGTGTTTGATTTGGAAAATCATGAAGAAACATTTTTCAAAAACAATGGCAAGTGGGTAAGAGCTGATATTTAAGACTAGATCATCTATAAGATAATTTTTGAAAGTTAAAGAAATATTTATCTTGCTTGTGGTCTTCAAGTGTTTAATGTTTCTGTAGCTTATTAATGACTGTTTATTGTGCATATGTAATATTCAATGTATTGAAAGAAGGTTTGCAATATTGTAAGTGTGAAACTGTATTTCTTTGCATTCTGATGTTCTTGTGTTTTATTTTTTTCACATGTTAAAATAAGGTTATTGAAATGTGAGCAAGACCTTTTGGAAAAGGTATAATTTCCTTAAATCTACATTGAAATTAACCCCTTCCACACAGGTCACGGGTCAAAGGCCATGTCATCGCGTTTTTTGACCCGCATTAAAATTTTTACGAAACTACTATTTTATGAAAGTATGTCAATAAGTTTGGTATCAAACTGTTGTGTATAATTAAATTTTTAGTATTATACATTATTTGTTTTCTTAATTTAAAAGTAAGTATTAAAAAACACACAGATATACATTGATTTTTGTGTTTCGCGTGGTATATTGAATGCAACACTAGTTCAAATTAGATGTTTATGATGTCAAAATACAAAGTCTGTAGTTTTGTACGAATTAGGAACTCAAATTACCAATATTTACAAGCTACAATATAAAATAAGAAACTCCTATTTTTTGTGTTTGCTGAGATATTGCTTATGTACTGAATCAAACACAGTGGCCTCACGCACCTCTTTCCATTTTTTGGAAATGCTCCCTTTCTCAGCCATTTTCAAATATTACAATGCCATCACGTTCTTTTGATACAAATCTTCATGCAGGTAAATCGAGTCTTTAGTCTGCTTGAAATTTCATATTTTTTTAGACTCAAATACAGCTTAATTACTCAGCTTGATAGTGGAATTCTATGGTATCGATATAGTAATTTATGATTTTTTTGGTTATTTCCAATGTATATATAAAACCTAAAAAAACATTTCGTTTCACATCCTCCACATACGAAATTTTATATGGCATAGCAACCTACGACAAGCAGCAAGTGGGTACAAAGATCGTAACTAGAAGAGATAATTGTTTGCTTCACTTCTTTATTTACTGTTCTAGTGTTTTAAGAAACATAAGTTTAAGAACTTATTTGTACATAGTAACAGTGTCTATACATATACACTGAGTGGTCACAAGTAAATAGACACCTAATTTTTCATCATGTAACTGATTTATGATAACTACTTTGTGTTCACTGAGCAC